ATACAAGAGTGAATATTTTTATTATTTTAATTAGTTTCCATTATTTTTTGACATGCGATACAATCGATTGGTCCAAGAAGGACAACTTTCAAACACAACTTCTTTTCGAATTTTTTTTATCGCACGTTCTAGTTCTTGAAACATGGTTGGTTTAGATTTCACTTTATTCCAGTCCATAACGTTCACAAACTCATCCAAAATACAGTAGTCCAATGGATTAAGATCGGGACTATTTGGTGGCTAATGGTCTTTAACGATAAATCCCGGAAAAGTCAAATCACACATCCTCACCCACCCTCAAATCTTTGTCGGGTAGTCACAGTTTTGATGTTTTAAAAGTACCAGTTTCTGTAAATCTTCGCTTTTCATTGTAAGAAAATTGAACTTCTTCCAAAAGACGTTGAAAAATAAAAATGACGATTAAGCGAATCTTCCAAGATTTATCTATAAAGACCATTGGACTACTGTATTTTGGATGAGTTTGTGAACGTTATCGACTGGAATAAAGTGAAATCTAAACCAACCATGTTTCAAGAACTAGAACGTGCGATAAAAAGAATTCGAAAAGAAGTTGTGTTTGAAAGTTGTCCTTCTTGGACCAATCGATTGTATCGCATGTCAAAAAATAATGGAAACTAATTAAAATAATAAAAATATTCACTCTTGTAGAGAATTTGATGAGAAATCTTTCTATAAAAAAATAATTTTTTCTAACTTGAATTATAGGTGAGAAAAATGCAAAATACTGGGAGGATCATTCTTTATGGGCCATCCGTTAAATTTCAAAGCACAAGTTGTTCTTGTTTCACGAACGGTTAATTTTTCACGGAATTTGTTAGTCCAATCATCTTTCATCTTTTGATTAGTACGACTAAATACATTTTTCCATTCGGTTACAGAGAAAACAATCGATATTTGTCCAACAAAATAATCTTGATTATTGTCTACATCGACGATTTCGTTTTTGTCGCGAGCACGTGTGCCAGGTGGCTGTGGTAATGGAAGCGAGAAATTTGGAGCTAAAGTTGAGTTGATTTGATTTAAATCAGAAGGGTGATCGTCATGATCAATATCGCGATTTGGATTGATATTTCTTTTCTTTTCTTCCACTAATTTTGTATAAGGATTGGCGTATTGATTCGTTGTAATCTAGCTTCAAATAAGCAATAACCTGTCGCCAAAGAGAATCGGATGACTTAGTTTTTGTATTCAATCGCCATGATTCAGCAGCTAGGTTATCTGAACGATCTCCCAGAGAAGCCACAGCAGCCACAAATTGATCTAAATCAGATTCTGTCATTTATCGATAATTTGTATTACTGCTTAATGAATATGAATAAAATAGTTCGTAAATAAATCGTATGAGTATATTGCATTTATGTGTGTCAAGTATTAATTATCTTTCTCTTTCTCTTCCTGTTTAATACTTACGTGTCTGTGTACACAAGAGAAGAGAGAGAGAAACTCGTCATTAATTTGAAAAAGCAGATAATAAACGTGTGATGTCATTTCTTTCAAAGGTGACTTATTTTAATTATCAAGCAAATAGTATATCTAATTTTCCAAATTAAATCGATACCGAAGGGCAATCGGATTGAAGTCGATAAATTAGACAGATAAAACATTAAAAGACAATAATATTCGTTTTCCGCACCCAAAAATTAATGTAAAGAGCATTCCTTTATTGATCGTATACAACATACCTTCAGTAAACTATATGAACGGATGAAACGAACCAGCAGTCTCGCAAAAAAGCTTGCCGAATCGTATCATGGTCTAATATTGGTCCAGTTTAGTCTTACATCTCCGTGCATTAAAAAAGCCATTTAGACTATTCATTAACAAATATTTCAAGAATTAGTAACATTTACTATTCTAACTTATTTGAATATAGTATGTAAAGTTACGAGTTAATAGATCCCATCGAGTTTTATCTTGGTCTAACCTGTCAGTCAATTTTTTGAATATAGTAAATTCATTAGTAATAAGTTACTATTTATTAGTTTTTACCACTATAATAGATCCGAATATAGCATTTAAGGTAGTCAATCGATAGAGCACGACGAGTTCTATTGACCTTGAGAGTTTCACCGCTTGGTCTAGCCTATGAGCGAATCCATACAGGTTTTAGTACGATTTACTAGTAAAAACTCGTGTATTTAGCAGTGTGTTCTACTAAACTTATCCGAATTAAACCGGAAAGGTGCTCATTCGATAGAGCTTGACGAGATCTATCGATCCTGAAAGTTTCAGCGTTTGATCTAACATATAGACGAATCCCTACAAATTTTATTGAATTTTTACCAATTTTTACTAGTTCTTCGAGGCTTTTTACTAGAAGGAAAGGTCTTTTGGTAAAAGTAAATACACCATTCGATAGAGCTCGTTGAGTTGCATCTTGGTCTAATGTTGGTCTAGCTTGGTCTAATCTTCAGGCGAATCCATTCAGAAAAAACTCGAATTCTAGTCTAAGATATCCTACGTGAGGTTTCATATAAAACTTAGATGCTTTCTTTAGAGATTTTATGAGCTGCGTTATCGTTTTGTTACTAAACTCTTAAAAGGTTTAGAATCTATTGGAATCCGCGGAATCCTTTAAAACCTTCCTTTTACTTGGAAAACATTTTACCAGGGCCCTTATTTTCTGCCAAAAATTCTTCAAGTGTGCAAAACCCCCTTGGTTTCGACTAAAGCCTTTTTTGTTTTCAGTGTATATTCAAAAATAAGGCATATCGACTGAATGCTAGCTTATTTTTAAATGCTCATAGATAACGAAGCTATGAGATCATTTTCTCTCATATCTACAGAGTTCAGATAGGATCTTTTAGTTAAGAAATACTTTTTAATATGTTTTTCGCTTAAAAGATGAAATATTGTCTAAATCCTTCGCTTTATTTCCTTGATAAACCAGTGGTGGATCGAGCCAAAATGATTGAAGGGTTGGGGACGCTGGCACAATATTATTCAGATAGAAATCGGGCGTCCATAGCTCATTCTTGTTTACATCAATTTGTTCAAGAACGGCTCTAGCCGAACAACTGGCAAATAAATACGCATGAGCACAACGTGTCGGAATGTCTTTGTGTGTTGATAACATCGGTTGTTTTCCGTCAAAGCGAGAGTCGGATATGTTCAAACAACTTCCAATAAAGAATACTGGATTTTGATCTATCCATTCATTGCTATTCTTTGATAACGAAGAAGTCGCGCATTGGCCATCGATCTTCAAAGCACCAGTTCTGATAGCAGTATACACAAAACGGTTGAATTTTTCTTTGAAAAAAGGAACAAAGATCGCGTCGTCCTCTAAGTATAAAGCTAACGTTAGATTTCTATTCGCCGTGTCTGCCCACGCATCAAAGCTTTTCATTATAAGTGAACAATAGCGACCATGCCCTTCTAGAATGCTCAAAACTTTATGTGAAATATTTAAAGACACTCGCGAAGACATACTTGCAGGTTTATCAACTAAATTTAAACTTTCGAAAACTTCTTTCTTATTTTCATCGGAATTACATTCTGCATGATTCCATTTCCATTGCCATTTGATAGATTCAACCGGAATATTTTGTTGCCGAAACGTATTCTTTATATGTAAATGTCTGTCAGATAAACTTTGATCAGTCATAACATAGATCTGTTTGACATAAGCTAAGCCTGATAATGTGGAAGGTGATTTCATCATCTTAAATGTTGTTTTATATTGTTCTTTAGGAAACCAAGCCTTCGTTGAATGTTCATCGGGTAGGGGAAATGAAAGCCATTCTCTTCTTGGCTTTTGCTCGATAAGTTCTTGAATAGAATAGTAATCATATGCCCTACCGTTGATATGGGTGACTGCATCGATGGGATAGTTGGCGAGAATCAAACGGAGCAGGTCTTGATGAATGAGTTCTAACTGTTGCCTCGATGGTGTAAAAAACCAAGTTATATATGATAGCGGGGACCATTTGTTTTCAGAGCGAAACCCTAAAAATATATGACACGTTTTTTCAGAGGATCTTTTTGATTTCCTTACATGTTCCTGCTACTGACAGAAGAACTAAAAGCCAACATGAGAAGAAAAGAAGGTATAAAATAGTTCTCCGTCCTGAACGTGTTCTGCCAATCGACATTTGAATTATTTGTTCCGATTTAACAGGGGCCAGTAACTCTCACGTTCAGCGGTGTGAAGATACCAAGAAGAAAAATTTACTGTTACTTTTTATTTCCTATAAAAAACACCATTACTAAGAATATTATATATCTTAGTAAAGTAATTTAGTTCCTTAGAAAGATTAGCGCATTGCAAATTTCGAGCAACCTTTTGCTTTACTTTTTACGCAGCCCGATGCAGTTTGATGTGCTAAATCCGGTTATGTACAGTGCATTCATATAGAAAGTTGACTGAAAGTAGAAAATCTTAAAAAAGCCTCAAAACCCTAAATTCTAAAAAGCTGAGTTTTCTGCCAGGAGTTTGGCGATAGGATCTTTTTAAATGTATTTAAGCTTTGAAAGCTTCTCCTCCTGGTTCAGCATGGAAAACTGAATCTGGAACACTACTTTCTGAACGTTCAAAGTAGCTCTTAATTACTGAAAAGCATAAACTCATTTCCTAAGGAAGAAAAACTATTTTCTATCACTAGCCGACTTCCTAGGCGTCCCATATATAATCTACGTATTTTCTTTCCTTAGTCCACTTTCGTTTAAAAATTCCTCGTTTTGCTGCAATATTCTGTGGAACTCACATATATTTTTCGAAGAGAAATAAGTATAAGTTCTAAATTGAAGAACTGTTCCACCACCTTCTGAAGGCTCAGCTTCTTGAAGTCTCACATATTTATGAGAAAATGTTCAATTTTTTAAAATTTTTAACAACTCAGCCGGAGAACAGCCCCAGCAATCCACACTTAACATCACATCTGCTTCTTGAAACCATCCTCTCCGTCTTCCCAAAGTATAGACAGCATCAAGAGGATTTTTATATCAAATATAAAACAATACTACATATTTTTGAGCACTATAAATATGCAAAAGTTAATTCAAGTGACCTTATGTGGGGTATGGGTGTCCTGACAGCAAGCCCAATGTCTCATGTGACACCTCCTCTCTCTTGTCCTCTTTCGTTATCTTTCCTTTTATTTGGCGTGCTTTCCTTCATGAGGGTCACTGTGAAAATGAAGTGGTAACTCTAGGAGCGGATAACCTGAACTTTCCACCTTCACCCACGCCTCCGTTTGTCGGCATCCCTACAGAATGACACTCACGACTCGCCGTTCCGCAATCCTCTCGAATTCTGACTATACTATTTTATTTTAGTCATCACGACGTTTAATTGAACAATCTTTACTAAGATAATCAATAAACACAGGAGTGACGCTCATCCTTCGCATTCGCTGAGGTATTTTTGAAGGAGCTTTACCAACCCTTGGAAAAGTCTTCAAACTAAACCTGGGCCCAAGAGAAATCAGGAACAAAGAGAAGTTTATGCATAAACTTCTTTTAAATGTTTTTCAACTTCTCATCACTTCAAAATATCTTTAAATAATGTGTTGAAAGCGAAAGGCAAGAAACAAGCACTGCTGGTAAAACTGCATAGATTTAATCGTTGATACTTTGAAGGAAAATATTACTCATACTTCTTTTCGTTCGTACAGGCCTCCTAGACAAACCCTTAATTACTCACCAGCGTCCCTCCGGTCGGACACTAACGGCTAGTCGCTGATAAGCACACACCTTCACTATTCCATCTATTTCTGATTCACTTTGGAAACGAATAGAGGAAGTTCTTTTAACTGCTTTTTGAAAAAGAACTGACTCTGTACTAATGCGATTCTGGGAAGGGAGCTGTTGAGACTTGATGCTATCTTCTGAGTCGCTATACTTCGAATAGGTTAGTTTTTCTCATGTCTAGCTGAATCTAACAGTGGAATGACAAACATTCATCTAGTTTTTCTCCATGTATGTCTATCGAAAATTCGATCAGATAATCTAACGTATCGCAGTCAGCGACACAAAAACTCTTAAACAGTGCTGGTATAAGTCTCATACTTATTCTATAGTTTACTTGAACTGCGATTTTTTAAGAAATCGATTACTTTTAAGGCTATTACTATCGAGAACTATTCATCCAATTCAAACAAATGGTCGTGCAAGTTCAGTTTCTTGATGGAAAGACAAGGATCAATATAGATCGTATGCAATGGTTCACATAAAAGCTAACGCCGGACTCTAGATCATCCACGTTAAATCACCTCTTGGTCCACTCATTTGTGTCAGCCAGATTTTTTTCGCTAGTTTAGTGAATACTGGATTTTTATTGGATAGAAGAGGCAAACTTTATGCATTACAAGCTGGTGGTTTTAACGCTGCATAATTCTTTGTTTCAGGAAAGGAAATAAACTTATTATTTTAGTCTTATTCCTTAATTCTAGGACCATAAATTCTTTTCTCTACATTCAAACAATAAAGGTCAACCCAAGTCACTCTTCGTTCTCAACATGTGATTCGTGACGGGAAGTTATACAGGTAACTTAAAGAGTATTTTCATTCTTCATATTTTATTGTTTATATAGATAGTATGGCGATTCTCAATGCAAGAAATGTGTACTGGGAAAAAGTGTACTAGATAGAAGACATAACGGATCATACAGAAATATCATTTCTTTTCTTTTTGATAATCCATGATTCGCTCGTCCAATCACTCTCATCATCAACAACTTCATCTCAACCATATTAGCCTTTCTAGAGTTATCGTATAAACATACGGAGGACAGTGACCAATTCTAGTAATGCACTCATTTTTTCACCCTGCTACAGCGGTAAAATGTTTCAAACCTGTTCTTTGTAACATGTTGTTGGCACTTTAATTAAAATTGGAGCTCTTTGTGAACGGATTTGCACACTTCACAGCATTCAACACATCTAGAATAATCTTCTTAGCGCCAAGAATTACAACAATAACTTCAATGACGTTGATCCAAGTCTATTGGCTGAGACACATCCTCGTGCCCTCCCTTCATTTTGACCTCTCACAAAATCTAAATTCGTCTTGCACAGTTTAATGACAGTGCGTACAACACAGAGCTATGAATAGCAGACAGGTGATCTGGATGTATTTCACTCACTTTCTCAAAAATTCCTCATCATGCAGCTCCTCACCACATATTGACGTTTTCGTAGGTCAGTACTATCATACATGTAGCTGAATGCTTTTTGGCATGCACTACCACGAAGCTGGTTGGGAGAACTGTCAGTGAAGTCCTCCACAACTACTTTTATAACGATCGGCCAACGCATCTTCGACGCTTTCCAAGATCTGACAATGCTCCACAGGAATTCGAGCGCGTTTCCTTTCAGAAAGCCACTTTGATGAAATTCCATCCAGATCACCCACACTTGGCCTCTCGGTAGTCACTCGGCACTCTCTGCCTATTTCTTTAGGCCTAAGGAGTTAACATGGGAAGTTACGGGGCCTTAATTACTACAGAAAGTGAATGCATAGTAAACAAGCGCATAAACATGCAACTGTATATACAAGGGTGTGCGACAACTCTACAGAAAGGCAGCATTAATACAAACGAGCGAGCTCATTTCGAACACGATTGAAATTTTAATGCGATGAAGCTATGTAGAAAATCTCAGCTCATCTGATTCTTTTATCTACTCGAAAGGAAACTGTAATACTATTGTCATCTGAAAACTTTTCTACTAAATGAGTCCCGTCCATGAAAACTACACCGCTCGACTCAGAATTTAATTTTGTATCAAACAGTGGTACTTTTATTCACGGGAGAAACTTTGGAAAAATTTCTACCTACGCCTTTGATTGCCCCTATAAGCCTATTTATGATCCAAATAAAATTTGTCCAAAGTTTCTCCCGTGAATAAAAGTACCACCATTCAATACAGAATTAAATTCTGAGCCGAACGGTCTAACTTTCATGGACGGGGCCCATCTAAGAAAAACGTTTTTAGCTAACACATCGGTTATTTGAATGATCAGTCGTTATAATTCACGCAGTTTTTATCTACTCATCGCCATTATCATTCTTTTGAAAGTCTCCAATCTCTGTGCGTATATTGATTAAACCAAAGCTCTTGTGATCTTGTTAATGTTTATTTAGTTCTACCGTACGGATTTAACAGTTTCACCGACAAAGACTATCCAGCTTATCATCACGATAGTATAGCATATGATCATTATTCTAAAGCTGAATTCTAATAGTCAGAAATCGGCTATCAATGGAAAATTTGGCCACTCCCGGATGATATAAATCCAAACGATATATCACCAGCTCAACCAGCAACTGTCTCCTTTGTCGATGTAATTTACATAATGACAAATGCTCGCCTAGTCGAACGACATGAGCATCTGAAAAAAACCTTTCATCGGCAAGTAATATCCATGCCATCAGTCTAATGGAGAATGAAATGGAATCGAATCACATGCCAATCATCTCTTTCACAGGCTTATCAACGATTCAACTTGAAAAATAGATTCTTAACTCACGATCAACAACGACGACGTGCAATCACAGTGGAACATGTCTATACCTGGTATGAAATAGCCGAACGAAACATCCGTTCAGTATTAATTCTCGATCATGACGCCATCTTCGTTCTATATTTCGAAGAAAAACTTCTTCGTATGATGCCCAAATTTCTCCGCACTAGCGTATTATGCCTCCGTAAAACCTGTCTAACACGAAAGCGAAAGCAAATCACATCGAATGAATGAATTGATCAAAATCCGATGTTCGCCATCAGCATACGTTTTCGGTTTCACGATGAACATTTTCAAAAGTCTTCTTCCTATGCATTTCCACTGTTATCCACACAAAAATTCAATGCATCACGATGTACACATGCTTATCTATTAACATCATGTTCAGTTCGAGCACTGATTGAAGAACTTCAAATACAGAAAAACGGCTTTCAGAATTCAAATTTTCTACAGAACTATTTATTTCGTTTATCATCCACACTGCAATCATTCTGGATTGATCCGCCATTGACTTATCAAGGCAATCAAATCCGTGACTATGATCATATTGAAACTTTTCAAAGTCAAACATATCTCGACTGATTTCGGAACCATTCGATTGTTTTTTGAATTCCGAGAGAGAGTGATGTCATTCGAAATGATGGATAAAGTTTTGAGAATACAGACATATTAGCTGTACGCCGTGACGGACCATCTTTGTTTGTATCATTATCGAATTGAATCGCACCCCCGTAATTCATTTGTTGAGCAATCAGTTGAACAAGTTGAGAGATCGAAACTTCTTCTCCGGCGACGATCAATGGTTGATCTTCACTGTAGTTTTCTAAGGACCATAGGACAATTCGAGCGAGATCTTCTGCGAACATAATTTGTCGAAGCGGTTGACCTGTTCCGATCATTTGTAGAGGAACCGATGGATTTTGATTTTCAATTTTTGCGATTAATGCATTGACAAGCGGCGCTGTATGTGGATTGAAGTCGCCATAAGCACCAAAGAAATTGCCTGGTAAGATTGAAACGAAATTGCAATGATATTCAGTTCTATACCATTGAGTTAATTTTGCTAAGGATCGTTTTGCATAAGCATAAGATTCAGACGCTGGATGAGGAGAACCGCTGTAAATCGAAGACGTATCAACTGGGAATTGTGCATCTTTCGGAAACATGACTGTTGACAAAATCGAAACTAACTTTATCTGGCCGATCCATGTTTGAAATTCGTAAGCTGTTTTCAGAATATTATTGTTCATTGTAACGTTATCAAACCAGTATTCGACAGGTTTAGCAGACATTTCTTGAATCGATGCAAGACGTGCAGCACAATGAATAACACGCGTTGGTTGATATCGTTTGAAAATATTTTGCACATCTTCGACTCTTCGTAGATCACCATCTTCGCGAGTAATAAAGATCCATTCAGAGTCCTTTGTTCGAATTTTTCGCGGTTTGGTATCGGCGATTTCCGGCGAAGATGTTTGCTCTAAGACAACATCACGAATGTATCGACCCAACATGCCGTTACTGCCCGTAACTAACGTGAAATGATAAGGAGAGAATGGAAATGCTAACATGATATTCACGAGTTGATNGTCGAACAAATTCCATCAATAACTTCATGTTAACTGAGTTTCCGAGCACATGAACAGCCATGATTGCTTTCACATGATTGGTTAATTTGCGTTCGAGTTCGTGAATTGAAATATTAAACGTACGTGGATCAACATCGACGAAAATTGGACGAAGACCGTGTTGAATCAATGGAAACACACTTGTCGACCAAGAAACAGCTGGTACGAGAACATGATCACCTACTTGACAATGTTTTGTTCGCAATTTATTTGCTATTGCCGACACAGCTAATAAATTTGCCGAACTACCTGAATTGACCATCACAGCATAAGGTACACCAACAATTTCTGCAAATTTCTTTTCAGCATGTTCAACTTGTTTGCCTAATGTTAGCCGACCTGTTAGCAAAACCTCTGTCATCGCTAAAATTTCGTCTTCACCAAACGGATTCATCGCTAATGGAAATAAAATCGATGTATCTTTCGTTTCAGCTAAGCGACGAGCTCTCCACTCATCTACAATCTTCGTTTTCCATTCCGAAGACGAGGAAGTTCCACTAGCCATGTTCAATAAATGTCTGAAGGTGCAATCAAAGTGAATAACGGAGAGAGATGAGAATGTTTTCTCTATTCTATCGATAGTCTCGATTTATTTTCATAATAGCAAGTGGCATTTGAACGCATGAAACGTACACTTCATTGGTGTTAACTTCATCTTAGAGCAATGAGAGGAACATTAGCGAACGAGAACGGAAGAGAGAAGAATCGAGAAAAAGTGACCTTCGCGGGACTCGGACCCACACATTCTGCTATCCGGCCAGATGTCATACGCCAGTTAGACTACACAAGGACCATCTTAATCTCTAGTATAGCGTTTTGTGATACACCACAAGCGCTAACAATCAGCAGCGATCCACTCGCTAGAAAAAGAAACGGATGTATGATTGGCCTAAGCCCACTCGTTCCCCCGCCCCCGGAATCAAAACTTGTTTTTCTTTCATAACGCTCATTCTTACTGAAATCTTAACCGAACATGTACCTGGCTTTGGGCAGCTTTCGGTGGCAAATTCAATCAGAAATACTAAGTTTTGGGACAGTTTCTTTTAAAACCAAGGATAAAAATACCAGCCTTCGTATACCAACGATTTTTCTCACAATATTGATGCCATAGAACTCGGAATAGCGTTAAAATATATGAAACACCTGTTGCTACAGCCCAACAGAACCGTTTTTTGCGACACTTGATTGTCTCACGAACAACTAAATTGAAAACAAAAGTTCCCACTCTATTAGGCTGTAGCACTGCATTTTAGCTTCATTTTCAAACTTGTCCGAGCGTTCTAACATTTAAAATCGCGAAATAATTTTTATCACATGTACAGATAGAATACTTATGAATTCCGAAAAAATCTCATCGGAAACACAACTGATTGAACACGCGCGCGAGAGAGAGATTTTTCGTGTTTATATAGAACGCAAGAAAATGTTAGGATTGAAAGTGTCAAGAGAGTTAGGCTATATCGAACGATTTCACCGAGAAAAATGATGTGAATATGAGAAAAATCAAGCTTCTTTGTATTTGGATTGCTTTTCATATATTCCCTCTTCCGTTCAAACTGAGCCATATAGCAATCGATAAAGCGTGACTTACTCTACAAAACTGTCTATATGACATTTTCTGTTTGCAGCGAAATTCGCACAAAAAATTCAACTACTTTTTATCTTTGTATTTTTAAAAGTCGCCGGATTCATCATTTTTTTGCCCGAATTTCATGCTGAGAAGCTGGTTGCCAAAACTATCCGGCCATAGTGGCGGCCCCAGGGGTGGGCTCAGCCCACCCTAGTGAGAATTCCTGGCGCCGCCGCTATCCGGCCACTTCCTTATCGTTTCCAACTCATGGTTTACAGGAAATGATTGGAAACCTCGTTTGAAATTCCGGCGGCAGAGAACCCGTTGAAAAATGAGCTTAGCCAGCCAGAGTCGATTGAACCACAATAATCTGCGAACTTGAAAATTGACAAATAACATCGACTTCGATGAAAAATTAATATAATATCACCCATATATTTATAGATTTATCCTCAATTCCTTTGACTATCTGGATTGACCCATAAAGTAACCGGTAGAGCCAGAGCTGCTCTACAAAACGTTATAGTTTCAATCTTTTCATACAGTTCTGAAATGCCATTTAGAATATCAAAACGTTCAGGCTTAAAGGATAAATTCTATCGGAGCTGGGACTTTTGAGACGACTATGGAAATAGCGTTATCTGCATGTTAGCTTGAAAAGTGTCATATTGTGGTTCAGCATCTGAAGTGGATCGAGAAAATTTTTTTGCAGTTGGTTTTCGATTTTTACTTTTCTTGCAATTCTCTCCCTCTTCGAGGCATCACTCAGGAAATTTCTCAAAAACAATTTGCACAAAATTAGTATTTTAGTAGGTTGTTACTAAAAATATTCCTTTCAAATAATATTTGAAAATATTTTGACGCATGTGGATAACTATAACGTATTTCTAAAGAAGTCCTTTGTTCTCCGAAGTTACCTGGATTGGTCATCCAAGAACAACTCATTGGAATAGGTAGAATTCAAAAATATTTGAAAAATACTTTTTCGACTGAAGTTTTTAGCTGACTCTAAATGTGACAATTTCGAAAATAATAGATTAACGAAAGTTGTTGATTATCACTCATTATAACCGTGAAAAGCGTAGAAGCGAACCCTCATCTGTGATTCTAGAAGAAAAGAGCACTGCAAGATATAAATTATCATATTAATAAATGCCGAAACTTTGGATTTGAGCCGAAAGTTAGGCGTGATTCTAGAAGTGCATTGAATGGAAGACATACGGAGTCATAGGGAGATATCAATACTTTTTCAATAATTGAAGAATTACTCCTCTAAGCAGGCTGATCTTTGAATTCCAGCAAATTTTGATGTAGCACTGCGTTATTCAAAATGTCTTCCCACTCAAATTAGCCTTTCAGACGTTATCGTGTAGATAAACGGAACACAGTAGACTTATCGATTCTCTCAATGCGCTCACCTTTTCAGTGTGCCACAACAAAATGATATCTTAAATCTCTTCTCACCAACATATCGTGCACGCCTGGATTATCTTCAATTGAAGCTCAGATTTTAACAAAAAACATGCTTTTGAACGGATTTCCATACGTTACATCACTCAGCACACGTGGAATGGCTTCCTTAACGTGAGCAAATACTGAGATTATTTGGGTGACTTTCACCCAAGTTCGTGAGCTCACACTTATTTTTGTGATGTCCTTTCATTTTCACCTTTCACTAAATCAGAGCCGTTCGCGTAAACATTGATAACGCTATCTATACTAGGGATTTTTAACTAGCAGATGAGTGATCTGAGTGAAACGCATCCACATAGGCATGTCACAACTCAAGCTCAATAGGTTGTGAGAACTGAATTCAGGAACTGGGTAAACAGTTCTGATCCACCTGAACTAGAGCTGACTGACAATTCGGTTCGTAGAAAAAGAACTGTTAAATATTTCTAATTTCATGGGCAAAAACTGAGTTGTCACATGCCTATATCCAAATCCTCTTACGGACTATCGTTATGGTGTTTCCAACCGTATCCTGCCTTTTTTCCAAATCGAAGCAGTGATAGTTGATTATTTGGTGGCGTTATCAATGACGAAAACCAGTTGGGAATAGTTAACCTAGGTTAATCACATTCATCTCTTTACCGGTCTGCCGATATCCATTCGATGTTTTTCGAGGTCTACAAAGTCCTGTAAAATGTTGGGCGAGTTTTCCATCCCAAATCCGCTTGGGTAAAATTCCACCCAGATCACACCCAAGTCACCCATGTCTATTCCTTCACTAGTAAGCCGGCACTCTCTATGTTTGGCTGGACAGAAGTGTTCATCATGGAAAGTTTGCACGTCATAACTGATACAGGAAGTAAATGCGAAACGAGCAGACAAACAAGCGTATGTGTTCAACTTTCTATATAAAAATCAAAGAAAATTTTGCTCGAACACAGCAACGGCACACATAATTGAGCTCATTCCTGAAATAGTTGAGGATACTGACAAAGCGGTTGTGTGTAGAAAATTTCATCACAATCTAATCTTTCTACCGAAAATTATCGTGTATATGGACGGCCGGGGCACACTTATTGATTTTAATAGTCTATTCCCTTTTGGAGTACACTAAGAATGGTAATAATCGAAAGGAAATGTCCAAGTACCTATCGATAGAGATACCTTTACGATGGAGCTTGCTAAAATTTGACTAAAAACCACCGGTATATCCGATATCGATGCCATCTTGATTTCGATACTATGATATTTATCGTTGGTCTATTCCACGCCTGAGTACTTGACATGAACATCCAATACATTATTCGACGCAGAACTCAACGCCTTACGATATAACTGCATTCGTATGTACTAAGCTTTAAAATATAACGAATACGCTATTCAAATGTCACTGAAAAATTGCTAAGGTTTCCTCCGCAAACTGAATGTTTTGTCATCCATCCTGGATGGCATTTCAGAACTGTATGAAAAGATTGAAACTATAACGTTTTGTAGAGCAGCTCTGGCTCTACCGGTTACTTTATGGGTCAATCCAGATAGTCAAAGGAATTGAGGATAAATCTATAAATATATGGGTGATATTATATTAATTTTTCATCGAAGTCGATGTTATTTGTCAATTTTCAAGTTCGCAGATTATTGTGGTTCAATCGACTCTGGCTGGCTAAGCTCATTTTTCAACGGGTTCTCTGCCGCCGGAATTTCAAACGAGGTTTCCAGTCATTTCCTGTAAAGCATGAGCTGGAAACGACAAGGAAGTGGCCGGATAGTTTTGGCAATCAGCTTCTCGGTATAACATTCGGACAAAAAAATGATGAATCCGGCAACTTTGGAAAATACAAAGATAAAAAGTAGTTGAGTTTTTTGTACCAATTTCGCTTCAAACAGAAAATGTCATGTAGACAGTTTTGTAGAGTAAGTCACGCTTTATCGGTTGCTATATGGCTCAGTTTGAACGGAAGAGGGAATATATGAAAAGCAATCAAAATACAAAGAAACTCGATTTTTGTCATTGTCAGATCATTTTTCTCAGTGAAATCATTCGATACAGCCTAACTCTCTTGACACTTTCAATCCTAACATTTTCTTGCGTTCTATATAAACACGAAAAATCTCTCTCGCGCGCGCGTGTTCAATCAGTTGTGTTTAAATATATTCTGATGATCAACGCATAAGGAATAAGAACCTCGCGTGTTATAGCTTAGTTGAATATCATGTGATATTATTCGTCTTCTTAGGAGATCAAAGAACGGAGAAATATTTTTTTTTTGCGTTTTTCGTGACATTTACGAGATAACATAGAGATCGAAAGGGTAAAAGGAGATCTTGGACGGCAATATTTGGATCTTTATACGGTAAGTAATGCCTAAATTTCCATGAGGGCAAATTCAAAATCAGTTGACCCACATGTTTTGGGAGTATTCGATTTTTTCATGGAGGCTTTCTTAGCTATGTGCAAATCTAAGACTCGATACTGTTTTACG